ATGTCACTCATTAGTTACATGATTCCGTCGAATGTTCATTCAGTGTTTTTGAACCCAGTTTGTTTTGCAGTCTATTTTCCGATGTTCCCACTCAAATTCCACAGAAGTATTGAGCAACCGTGCTTTTGATCCATGCTTTGGATCCTTAGCATGGTATGCGTACCAATACACCACATGCCCATCACAAAAATCTTTCAAACTTAATTACGTACTCTCTTCAGTCCCACCTCAACATATCCCAGTTATACCGGCTTTTTGCATCAAAACGACACTTTGATCCGAAATAATCTTCATTAACTGATTCAGTACGAATGGTCACATCGTGCTAAACGGCGAGAAATTGTGAAGCATGTTCAGTCGGCTCTTGAGAGTTCATCTGATCAAGAATTCGATGATGAAGAGCTCGAGAAATTATTGGTGAGTACCTCAACGTTTCAGCATCCGATGCCGTATCCTTACTGTTTATCGTATTCAGGATGTACAGTGGGATGAAATGTTTGATACGGTGTGTGACCCACCAATACAGCACCAAAAATGTCTACAAGCCGTCTGGGAATTATTTCATACTGAACTCATTTTCTTACATAAACAACTCCTTGTTCTCAGGTTTATTCATTAATTCACTATTTATGTAATAAAGTACTTATTGTTTTATATTATAATTAGTATTTATTATTGTAAATCATCATTGTTTATTATACTGTTGTCATTGCTTGCTCAGGAATGTCTATAAAGAACCTCTGAAAAGGTGTCAAGTTGAGGGATGCCTTCTGACAGTTGAGCCTGATTTACTGTTCGGCAATTTGGATCAGCTTTGTCGAGTGAGTTCGATGCACGCTTCTATTGACTATGAGTGTGAATGTTTTTTGAAATGTATCTCCGGAATAGACTTGATATGCATTCTTTTTTGTATACTTACTCGTAATGCATAAATGAAACTTTTTAGATTAGTCGTGGATTTTGTAAGTCATTTTTAACGATAATGAATGATATAAGTAAACGGCAAGAGGAACTAGAAGTGCAGCAGCCTGAACGACAATGTTTGTGTAAAGCAGAAAATGTTGATAGTGATCAACTTGATGAACACAGAGGGAGCACTGTGGCAGATCCTTTCTTTGATACGACTGAATTAATTGTGAGACTATTCGAAAAGGTTATTGCGTTTATCGTTATCAACATTCATCATGCATTAATTACCCTTTGGAAAGACAGAATTTCACGTACTGTCCGTCACGCAAAATTACCATGAAAAAATTAGTTTAGCGAGAATAAAAATTCAAATTTCTAAATGTTCTAATCGAATGTTTCTTTTGAACTGCTTTCGAATATTCAGTTCTCGAAAGGTCCATCAACAATCTCCGCCTATCAAGCCTACTGTATAAACTATAAAGCAACGATGGAATACCTTGGCTCGATAAGACAAAAAGAGGAGCGTTTCAATGAATTCGAAAGGGTTACTTGTCTACTCATTGGCAGTCTTCAATCAATTTAAGATTGTTTTGAGTAATGTTCGTCGAGGTGTAACTTTTTGATTGCGGGGGTGGGGGATGACCGTGTTGGGGGTTCCTCGAAAATTTGCGGGGAATTCCATGAAAGTTTAGGACAAGGAAAGTCAGGCACGAAATTTTGTAGTCGAGGACCCCGAAAATGCAGTCGGCTCGGGAAAAAAGTCGGGGACAGGGTCCCGGAAGTTCTTCGATACCCGCAGCAAACTAGATGTAGCAGTAACGCTGATGTTTTTACCCCTTGTATGCCTAAGTGTGCATCCAAGCCCAAGCACAAGTCTGATGCTCAACCCTGATGCGGGGATCGAAAAAATTCGGATAAGTTTAATATGAACAAGATCACACTCAAATACATCAGCGAGCGCTCCAATAGCCGTATGAGCATTGTAGATTACTGAAAGGAACGCCATTTCGCTCCAGAAGCACAATATTCAAAATTCCATCCACAGAAAGCGTGTTGTGTAAAGGTTTCTCGGGGAATTGTCGAGGAATTCTCGTGCGGAGCTCGTCCTCTCCGTTGTGGAGTAGGGTGGCCAGGGGAGGAACCCCAATAGAAAAGTTGAGGAGTGAATTGTTCATGGAGTACCCGGGGGAGGAA